TTTCATAAATAATAATCGTTAATTTACAACGTATTATATTAGTAACGTATGTTATCTAAGAGAATATGTTAATATCGCATCAACTCTGTTTTTAAATAATAATATTTAATTTAATAATCAATATTATATTTTGTTACATGTAAAAGTTTTATTGAAAAAACCTCACATCAGTTTTTTGTGTACAAATAAAGAGGTCAAGAAACTTGCATGAAATCTACAGTGATCTGACCTCGAGAATTACGGAAAAATCGTCCTATTTGGACGAGAGAGGCTTTCATAATTTTGCTTTCGTGTATAACGCAATAAGTTACGCGAAATACACTACCTATACACGCGCATATATGTATATTTCAATTTCATTGGGCTGATGAATCACACAACTGTCACTTTTACTGACATCGAACGACGTTGCGTTATAAGTCATAGACGAAACATCATATTGCTCTATGCAAGTTTTTAAAGCCATCGTTTTAGGTTTACACAGTCATTTTTCTTTGCCAACATTAGCAAGAAGACATTATTTTTATATGATTGCATTGATGCTCTTTAATCCCGATATTCATTTATTTCGTAATTTTATAAATAAACTTTCAATTAATTGTTTATTAATTAGATAAATTAGATATTCTCGAAATTATTATACATCAAGCAAAATAAAAAACTTCCATTATAATGAATATTACAGAATTTATCATATTAAAATAAACATTTCAGCATTTAATATTTTAAAAAATAAAAAGTTAGTAATAATATAATTATATTGTAATAAATACTCTTATAAAAAATATTTGCGAAGGAATTAAAAAATAGATATATATATATATATATATATATATGTGTGTGTGTGTGTGTTTAAATAAATATATAGTTATACTTATTTTAAAATATTCAAAGAAAAACTATGTTATTAATGAAATTATTACTCTATTCCAGTAGCGCGTATGTAAACTATTTCTTTATTACCTCAAAAGTCTTTATTACTTTTATTCATAAAATTTTATGACTATCCACATAATAAATTTATAAATTAATATAATTTTTCTTGGTTCAGTTATAATTATATATGACAAAATTTCTTATGATATATTAATGATTAATAAAACAATAAATTATCATAGTTTACTATAATTATATCATGCCATTCATTAAAGTGTTTTGTATATTGTGTAAAAATTATATATTTTCGTAATAAAATATTTTATATAGCATTAATTCTTTATTAGATCATTGTAAAGTAAATAGTTCGCTTTCTGTAGGTTACTTTACAAATAAACAATATTTTGAAAATAATATTAAAACGTAATAAGAAATAATATTTATTTTTATAATTTATTATTTTAATGGTTTTATTGGGAATAGAATTTTTTGAAAACCTAAGGTTAATTTTAAAATTATGCATCATATGTAAAAAAAATTTTATCAAATTAATTTATCAATTATTGCGTTTCTTTCAAAATGACTTTCAGCGCGACTTTAGAAAACGTTTCCTTATTAAAGTAATGTTATTTAAAAATTAGAAGTAATTTGTTTTGTTAACTGTCTCCCGAACAACTTATGGTGATAAAGTTATAACTTTCACGCTTTTAGCATCCTTCTTATTATCCCCCGGAATAGCTATAGGAATTAAAATAAAAAAATAACGAGGAAAGAAATTATCGAGGAGACTCTAGTCTAGACGTTGGAATGTTAAATCGCAAAGGCACACAGCGGAAACAAATACCATTATAGATATTCCTTTTGGTGTAGATAGACGAAGGGTTTTTGCCGCTTTTAACTAAATATGAGTTGGACATGTGTAATTTATAATGCACACACTCGTATGCTGTTAATTACATTCGTGCTCGTATTATGCACATTGGCAGTGAAAGTGAAAAGCGCTTCTCAGACTGGAATAATATCCGCGATTTCTATCGTAATATCCAAAGGTGCATCTCTCAAAATCTTCTTCGTCTTTTCTTATCTCGTTTGATCGTAACAATATGACAGCAATTATTCGTTGAATTATATTGGTAAAAATCAAGTTTTACGTAATTGCCTGTAATTGAAATTGTAGGTACATCATTTCAAAATGGATTAAAAATTGTACAAAATAATATAGAAATACTTTTATATACTTGATGTGCCTATAATAAAATGTTTTCTAAAATTAGTGAAAGCAGTGTATATATTTTATTAAGAGGAAGTGAAAGGATATACCAGTAACTCATTTTTAGTCTGTAAATTATTAACAGTTTAAGAACTTATCATATGCGGTAAATTTTGAAAAATATTCAAAATCATCTTTCATCTTGAGCCATTTAGTAATATTTATTTAAGTTTAATGAAATCTGTCTTACTGGATAATTTTCAATTTTATCAAGATAAAAACTTTGAACTGCGAACAAAATTAATTACTCATTAGTTTAGTAAAAAATGGAAAAAAAAAAAAAAAAAAAAAAAACTTCAAATTACTATTAATTATGCATTATTTTACGAATAAATATTTTCCCAGAAATATTTATAGATACAATTGTATAAGGATTCAATCAAATTACAAGATTCATATAAAAATTAAATTTATTCAACTGAATTATTACTATCCAGTAATATTATGATATTATAATATTATAATAAATTACATGTGATTAAAAATAAAATTTGTACAAAAACCTAAACATTAATCACCATCTTCTTAAAACATAGTTTAATTAAGATTGCAAAATACTGTGTGATTAAATACACCGAGACAAAAATTTTGCTCCCATTAAGAATATTACAACACGAATGCAAAACAACGTCTAATCGATAAATTAGACGCAAGAATAAATTTTTACTTACATTCTGAAAATGTAGATCAGTACAAAACTAAACAAAAAGTCGACTAAGCTCTTCAAGGAGGAACAGACAGAATGAAAAGTTATAATTGCGGATTGAATAACAAAGTGAACAGCAACATTGACGTGATATTACGAAAGTACACTTGCATGAGATTAACATTATTATTCATTGCATGAAATATTCGAAATTTTATGTACATTGTTTTACCTAATATTAGAAAACATACCTAAGAATGATAATAAAATCTTAAATAAAGTTTATTACGAATCAAAATGCAATATGTAGTAACTATTTATAATAATAAACAATTCATATAGATATATATTTTTAAAAATAGATCAGTTTCTGTATTATCATACATCTCTTTTTTTTAAATTGACTCGTGTACTGTCAATGTGATAAAACCTTATAGATAACAAATTAAATATATCTATCGAAATTAAATTAAATTCATAAATAATATTTCAAGTTGAGATTAAAATATATAATATAATTGTCACAGTATAGGCACGTATAAAATTATTAATTAATATTCATTTTTTGATTAGTAATGTAATTAGTTTAATTACTAAATTAAAATGAAAAAGCGTACAGTTTAATCATAAAGTGTATAATATTATATACTAATTAAATTTTGATGTCCATTACTTATATATATATATATATATATATATATATATATATTATTTTTTATTAATCAAAAGATTTTATTGAAAAATTATCTAACGATTAACGATATTAAACTGTATGATTAACTGTACATAAATTTAATTTAATGAATTATACGTTTGTGTATTGTTTTTATTTGTGCATCTGTTTACATAAAAAAATCTATGAAAATTACTACGAAATATTATTATATCTTATGTTTGCAAAATGAATTTAATATTAAGAACAAATAAAAAGTAATGAGTTTTCCTTAATGTTGGAATTTACTATTTTAATACTAATGTTTTTCAATGTTATATAAAAGTACAAGTCAGTTTTCTGAATACAAGTACATTGAAATTTGATATAGACTCGTTAACTAAATTTTATTTTGAAAATATAAACATAAATTATATATGATTTTCTAAGATTTAATCATTATCTGATATAAACATAACATTTAACTATCTTTGATCAATTATAATTAATTCACCATCAACTAAGCAACATTTATTTTTAATTAAGCAATAACAATATTTTTGACAAATAAAATTGAATTTTGTTTTTTATTTTATGAATTATACTAATTATAGGTTAATCGCACAATTACACACATCACATATGGATTATAATATTTATTATACTAATTTATTTTATAATATATTTACATTAATTATTTTCATTTATACATAATTTATAAAAGATTTAAAAAATAATATATAAAAATATCATGCATATATAAGAAACTCTTCTTTCTGCAAGATATTTCGTCATTTTTAGCTTTGTTGTTAGCATTAAATAAATATTAATAAGTAGCAAATTAATCTTTTAATGACATTAAATGTTATTATGGATTTTATAAAAATTATATGAATTTTCACGAGTTAATCATTATTACTAAAATTTAATCATTAATATCTAACGCTGAAAATATTATTGTACGTATTTATCAGTTTCTTTCAAATTTTCATTCAATGCAATTTATGTGGTAATGTATTTTCAAAAACAAAAAATAACTTTTATTAATATTTTATTGCTTTATCGTATATGCGCAAATGTTGCGTGTATTAAAAAAGAAAAAAAAAACAGTAATTTTTGGAGATTTTGCGCTTCATTAATAATCACTTAAGGCATTAAAATTAATGAAAATAATTTGTTTCATTTTCGTAACAATTAATATAATATGGAACTATATCTTTAAAATAGGAAGGTACAATTAATAAATCCACCATTACAGCGTTGATATGTTTTTTGCGATATTCACTAAGTTACTTTATAATCTCAGAAAATCTGGGCAACATGTAAGTAAATAAATATTACCCAAATATGCATAAATAATAATGCTAATGATGAAATATTTGATAAAAATGCTTTTTCCACTTCTTCTATGGCGATTTTTACAGAATATTTAAGATGAAAATAGCATTTTTATCATATTGATTGTTGATCTCATATTACTTTTTTCTCAAATATTAGTAAACACATAGTGCTATACTTGTGTAAAAAATGCATAATTTGTACAATTTAAGAAACTTTTAGTGTATATTCTGATAGGAATCTTGTTTCTTATATGGTTTTTGGTAAGGTGTTATGGGAGGTGGAGGTCCGTATCCCTGATTTGTAGTGTCGCCACCACTCGAATGCTGCGAAGACGCGCCTGAAGCAGCTGTAGAGGCGCCTAGTATCGCCTTCATAAGATTTACTCCGCTGGATAAAATATCTTTGAAGGTTTTACCAAGCAGCTCAAATGTTTTCACTTTGTTCGCTGGAACCTTCAAGTTGTTGGATGAAAAATTTTCACGAGTTGTTAAAAATGCAAGTTAAAGTTGCAAGCGAAGCAAATGACGAGTTAAGCTGTGCACAATCTCACCCCATAGGTTCCGTAACCGCCGTAATTGGCTGGAGCTGCGACCTGTTCATATTGGTACTGTGGAACACCTTGTACGTATTGATTGTCCTGTGGAAAATGTACGGCTTCGGGATGCGTGGCTTGCGGTCTGTATTGCGTGTTCTGAAAATTGGCGCGTGTTTTTTTCTGAGAGGAGGAGTCCTTTGGTGAGTTGTTCGGACGTTTCATTTTCGGCTCCGGTGGCGGTTTTAAGATTTCAACCTGAGAGAGGGGATTATATCCTGCAGGGGATTCATTTTCCTCAGCAGAAGAACCCTTGCTGGAGCTCTTACTCGAGCCGCCGCTCAAACTGCCACTTGAACCTGACAAGGCGCCGGCCACAACTTGACTGACAAGAGCACCAAAGTCGATTCCCGAGTCAGGTGCACTGAGTTCCTACAATTGTATATATCAATTTTTTTATCACATGGTATGATATCAATGATATTTGTGTTGGTTTAATTTAAAATAAAAATTCGCGAGGCATTCGTACTACTCGCTAGCAATTTACAGATTATATATGTATTTGTATGTCATTTATGTGTTCATTTATTAATGAAGTTGTAATTCACTCATTAAAGATTTTTAATTATAATTTCACTTATAAAGATGATTATAAATTATAATATAATTTTATTTTGTAAAGTTTTGCATTACGTGGCTTTTATGTCTATGGAAATTTGGATCGCGTACTATCATATATTATCGTATAATATCTATATAATATAATCTTATAATATCGTATAATATCGTATAATATAATATAATATCACGTGACAAAAGAATTATTAGTTCTATAAGAAGTAATCACTTTATGGGATATTCGATTTTTCGTACTATATGGTTTTACTCAATGGATAGGCAAATGTTATCTATTGATAATAATTTTATAACACAAGTCAATGTTTTAATACATACTGTACTTAGTAGAGAAACGATAGTAGATACAATTGCTGCAATAGGTGATTGTCCACCAGATTCTGTTGTCTGCCAACAACACAATAAGCATTAATTCATCTTATTTGGTAGTTAATTAATACGTAACGATGACTCAAAATTGACTACCTGACTTAAGGGTCCCAAAATTGCAACTAAAAGGCTACCAAGAGAAGATTCTTTTCCTCCGCCCTATATTAAAATTTCAAATTAAGGTAGAAAGTATTATTTAGAGTTACTCGCTGATAAACTGCGAACGGCACTTGAGATTTGAAATTAATACATACGCCACTGCTCGATGACGATAGTGGGCCACTTAATGGACCGGAGAGTGGACCGATTAATGGTGCTATCAGCTGAAATATGGGCCCTAAGATAGCGCCGCTATCGCTGCCTTCTCCATCCTTACCCTATGTATAATTATTTTGCCAGAAGTCTTAAGTTTATTATAAGGATAGATAAGTTTGATTTCTTGCCTTCCTTATATTAATAAAAAAAAACATCAATAAATAATTCTATTAATTTCATTCACTCTAACCTTCTTCTACAAATCAATAAAAAATATATACAAAAAGCGAAGTAAAATTATTACATACTTAAAAAGCCATTTACAATAAACAATATTTCTATGATGAAATGTATTGTAGTAGAGTATGCATTAGTCATAGCGGTAAATCTATATTCTAGTACAAAATGACAAATCTTCAATTACAAAACATATTACAACATCATATTTGTATATTTTGAGCATCGTCCTTCGGGTTTCATTATTTTGCTCAATATTTACAATTATTGATTTAATCATGTTTTAAATAAATATAAATAAATTAGTGCGTATAAATGATAAACTTAGTCGTTAGACGAGAAGGATATTAACATAGTATTTAACATTAAAATAATACTAATAATTTAAATGAACATACGGCAGATAAACTTTGTAAAATGGGCCCAAGAACGCCAACAATATCTGGACCTTCGCCAGTTTCTGGATCTCTCTATAATGGTAAACCAAAATATTAGTGAGAGTAAAATGTAATTTATATGTATTGTATATTTATTATATTTATTATATTAATCGTCACATATATATATATATATATATATTTATTTTTTTTTGTTTTTGTTACTTCTCACTTCTGATAGTTGTTGCAGTATAGGAACAGCTGCACTGAGTAATTCGCCCAAATCGGTATCGGACTCCGGCTATTAAATAGAAAAACAATACCCATCAACAGTTATTTTCACTGTAGCATAAATAGTTTTAAAAGTATTTGATACATGATAAAAAAAAAAAAAAAAAACACGTAATATGTATTATTATTAACTATAAAATTAATGTGAACGTTTTTGACGATAAATTATTTGATTATTTAACGTGATCATGAGTTTATGAAATTAATTTAATGAAAATATAAATTAAAATAAATTTTACGTCACTAATGTCCTCGAGAATTGGAATAAGTAGTGGAATAAGGTCCTCAAGTGATCCAAGAGATCCTTTGTCTTCATTCTATGTGAAATAATATTTTTATTAATTAGTTTTTATCGAGGCTTATATAGAATACTGAAACACATAGTATGGGAATTATATTATTTACATGATAAATGATTTTAATGGTACAGTACTACATGTATTATAATTGTAGGAAAACTATATTTTTCGTTTGAACATGATACGAATGTTATTATGTCTGTAATAAGCATAATAATAAGCTTTGTTTTTATTTATAATATTTAATTACTTACATAATCATAATCAGTACTTAAAGTTTCATCATCGTCATCAAAAATATCACGTTTATCATCGTCATCGCCTTTACTCGTATTTTGCTCTTCGCCTTTATCATTATTGCCTTCGATTTTATTATCAATGTTATCTATGTCATTTTCTTGTCTCTGCGATGTCTGATTCCTTCTACCACGATAAGTCATCTTTAAAGTAAATTTTATCTTTTATTGAAATCATTCGTTTCAATCTTATTAAATTAAATTCTAACCTCAACATTGTAAAAAAGTTACAATGACTACAAGTTTAATATAAATTTGAAGTATTCTTATAAATTATAAAAATTCATATATGATTATATTAATTTTAAGAAAGTCTTATTTATACAGACTACTATACATATTTAACAATAAGCAGGGCAATTTTAATCTACACAATTTTATAAAATATCTTAATGATAATATGTCATTAATGCCATATTTTATTGTATGACTATACTTTTAAACTTAGTTGTGCAATCGTCCGTAATAGACTTTCTAGATGAGATACGTTGATTAGGTAAGAGTCCAAGAAAGATCATCGACCACGCGAGATCCATACATTATTAATGAATTCGATTCCCTCGAAAAGTTATAATCATCGTGAAGGACTGCAATTTCAAAATTTATTGAGTAGACGTAAAATAACGCACTTAAGTATATGGATGTAGAAAAAGAGGTTAACAAGATTCCATAACGCTGATTTATAGTTATGCAATAAAAAATATAATTTTTACTAATGAAAAAAATTTATCGTTACTTTTTATATTTTTTACATTTTTATTTGAGTGTAGACTTGTATCGAGAAGTTTCTTTCTCGAGATTTCTCTAGTGTATAGTATTTAAGATATTAAAATCATTTCGAATTTGCTTTATTTTAGTTTAAAAGCACTTTACTTTTTATATGTCAAACGATAAATTTTGAAGCTTGTAATTTCATTTTAATAGCCGATATTGCTAATAGCATATTCACAAATATTGAAACATTTTTTTATACATCTTGTGTCAATATTTGCGTAGTTCTTAAAAAAAAAATTCTGTTTGCTTATTAGACAAACACGTATTATATATCAAACAGAAGAGTATATACTATTTTTATAAATAAATATAAATTTTTGGTACATAATTTTTGGAACTATAATATCGTTTAATTTTTATATATATTAAAAAGCAAAATAATTTTATAATGTTAGTTTATAACATATTTTAATAATTTTATATAAAATTTTTCGTTAAAACTAATAGAAGTTGTTGGGCATTGATTTGTCAACGATTAATGCAGTGATTTCAAAAGAAAAATTCTATTGCTCCACTTATTTTTTTAATCACCACATGATTATAATAATCACATTTATTAGTCTAAATTTATTAAAATAAACAAATTGACGTCTAATAATAGTTTAACCATTTCATGAAAAATTCATCTAAAAGTTTAGATAAACTAAGATAATTAATAATTATATTCTGTAAGGAGCTTTATTTTTGTCTACTTAAAGTTTGACAAAATTTCACTTAATTACGTGTATTTAAATTTTTATTTTCAATCGTCTATCCAAAATATCTAAAATAATGCATAATTACAGATAAAATAGATAAATTTTTTTAAAAATTTATTAAATATATTAAAATACTAAAATTATTTAAAAACTTAAACTATTTTATATTGTACAGACTTGCAATGAGTTGAACTGAAATTCAAAATTAAATGTACAATAAATTCAAATAATTTTATCGTAATTTCAATTAATATTTTAATAAAATCATATGACATTTAAATCGTGGAATAATAAGATAAAGACTATTTAATTTTATAATGAAATAAGTATTCATAATTTTTACGTAAAAATTAATCAGATTATATGCAATTAATCAGTACATTAAATTTATCGTCATAATTTTACAAACCATTTTGCACTGTTGTAAATACAAATGGATGTGTTTTGTTATAAATTTATAATTTTACCTGCATGTCTTTTAAAGGTAAGTTGTTAGTAACTTTGGTAAGCATGTGTCTAAACATCGATGATGTAGTATTTCTATTAGCATATGATATTAAACGGATAAGTGTCTGCAAATTAAATACAGATCGCATATTCTTCGATCTATCTTTTTTTCTCTTGTTATTTCCCAATGGTTTCACTGTAATTGGAATTTCTTCGATTATGTCTTCCGTCGTGCCTAAGATAAAAATGTAATTCTTTATTATATATTCGTATGCATATTACAGGGGTAATAAAAATATTTGCTAATTTTCAGGAAATTTTTAATTTTTAAATTGAGTTTTGTTATTATTTTTTAAATTTAAACTCAACTTTGTTCATTATTTATCAATGTGTTGAAGAATTACAATGCTCATCTAAAAATATTGCAGTAATTATTTTTTTCTATAAAGTCATCTTTATCCGTTAAATCGATAATTAAACTAATTTTATTCTTTCGGTAATAATACTGTCATAAAAATAGAATATATATATATATATATATATATATATATATATATATGTATATGTATGTGCATACATACTCGCATATTAGCTGTATCGATACGCAGACCAAAGTTAATAAAAATGTATTTTTCATAAAAAAAAATTAGATTTTTATGGTAAAAATTTAGTCATTGTATTTATCGGATTAATTGTACTTATCGTATAAAATTTTTGATACACAATTGTCTACATATGTAAGAAAAACAATTTCTTCATGTTAACTAGCTGTACTGTTAATAATTGTACGGATCAACTCATTTCAAGCGTTTCTCGCATATTTTCACCATCATATTATGAAAGATCTTGAGACACTTTACTATGTGCCATAATTAACTTAAAAGCCAAAATTATTATTTTAGTTCTTACTTTTATTCGAATACAATTTTGTTATATCACTTTCACCTCGAGTATGAAAAAAACAATTATAATTTATTACATATGTAGTACGATTATTGAAAATTATCATAAATAGTGATGGAATAATAATAATGCATAAATTATTTTAATAGATTTATATAAAAAAGCGAGTTAAAAAATTATCCCGATACTTTCGTTTTCTCTGTTATGAGGTGGTTAAATAAAAATAAGGTCATACAATTGCAAACAAAAATACAGCAAATATAGGTAGATTATCTAATAAATTTTAATTTGATAAATAAATGATGACATGAAAATTTTATATTCATATTTGGTTTTGGTTAAAAAAAAAAAAAAAAAAAAAAAAAAAAAGGATTAGATTTTTGAAAATCAATTATAATACCGTTAAAAGGATAAAACATTAAATTGTTTAACTATTATAGTGAAGTGAATGGAATATAATGAGTAAGCTTTTATTTTAAAGAAAAAATAGAAAACGTATTTTCTGATACCGTGTATATTTTATTATTTTTTTTAAATGAATAATATTTTGTCAATTCACTGAATAAACTCGTTTATTCGTTTGTTAGACTAGAAATTTTGTATCTACAAACAAAATTCAATTTCATTGTAAAATTATTGTAAAATTTACTTTTCTTAATAATTAATAACTTATTCTACAGTAAAATCAATGATACCTTTTTCATAATTTGTCTTGAAATTTTTATAATGTTCGAATTTTTTTTTTTTAAGCATTTATATGAATGAATTTTGATGAAATAAAATTCATTTAACAAGTTCATGCCTACTTGTATTGTTTTCGGTTAACCAGGACTTGTTAAAGTTGTTTCGCACTGAAGAAGTCGATAATAAATTTTGTGAATTACTGGTGGAAGGCTCATAGCGGCTATCATCTTTTTTTTCTTCCCTTTGATTATATATTTTAAATTTGCTGTTTTCAAGTTTCAATACATTAGGTTCTTCTTGAGTTATGGTTATATAGGCCTCGAAGGGTACCCTAATGATTGGTCGACTATTTGATATAGGTGTTTCATTATTTTGATATTTGTAAATAATACCAACATCCTTTGATTTTAATTTATCAGGCTTGATGAAGCTTTCGCGTGGTCTACTCGATAGGAGCTGATTTTGTTTATTGTTCATCGATACGAGCTGCAATGATCCCAGAGAATCTTCTTTTACTAAAACAAAAAGATATTCAATTGATAATAATAACATAATTATTAAGAAAGTACATTTAAATATCATTACTGTTGTCGGGATTTTTAATTCCTTCGTGAATATTCTTTGTATTCACGGTGCCATTCAATGTGTTCATCTTGTCGATATTGGCAGGCTTAAGTGGCAGTGGTAAATATGCGTTTTGCCGTTGTTCAACGATAAATGGTGGGAATATATTGGGATCGCGGAACGCTTTATTATCAGGATGATCGTACGGATTGCTGAGAAATAAATCTTGCGTATCATTTGCGAATGAATTATAAAAGTTATAGGAATCGGTTTTATTTTCGTTAATAGTTGGTGATTCCGTTATTGAAACAAGTTTTAGCCGTGGCTTAGCCGTTTTTTTGTGATTATTTATGATCTGCAAATTCTCGAGGTTTTCATCGTGCTAAATCAAATTGAATACGTAGTTTTATTATTTTTATATTAATTTTTGTATTAGAAAATTGGTGATTATTTATTTTTTTTTTTATTACTTGCAATTGGCAAATAATTCAATTTTATTGCACTCTAATATGTTATACTAATATGCTAAACAATATTTAAAATAGAAAAGTGAATGTTTTCTGCTTACAATACATTTTTTAAATTTGAATTATGTTTACAAAAATTTGTCTATCATTTTTAATAATAAATTTTTGTATTTATTGTCAAGTTGAGCATAGAGGTATGCCATTTTATATGGGGATTTTTATGAATGTTTATTAATGTATGAAAAAAGCCAGATAGAAATATATGATTATTAATGTAATATTTAATATCGATTGTTAAAACGCCATAAAATCTCAATGGATACCTTTTGTTCGAGAAAATTACCTTAATATTCGAGAATAACATAGGTTTCGACAATTTTGTATCCAGTGGCCCCTTCAGCTCTTCGCTATTTATTCTCTCAATTAAATGATTAATAACTATAGACGAGTTACGTAACTTTTCGATATTTTCAGGTGATATTTCAGAATTTGGTGCTTCCAGGGTAACATTAATTCTAGAAGCCATAACTCGCATCGCATATGTTACCCAAGTGATCAGCTCTTTCTTGTTAGTGATTTTAAAAGGTAATGTCACTTCGACTTTATCTGCGTATCTTGAACCAATTTCAAATTTTGTCGGACCATCCTCAGCTATATTTGTAGAAGCTACATCCAACTCCGTAGTTGGAAACGAATTAACTAGTCCAATTAACAGAACCAGTAGAAAATACATGTGGCTCATCTTCTGCAGGCTGTATGAAATTCTTTTGTCATCGAAAATTTTCGTTTACGTTAATAACTTTTCATGTACATTTACAATAATTGAAATAATGTAAATTTATAATCTAAACTTCTTAAAAATTTAACTTGATAATACTATAAAATATTAATATTTAAAATTTAAACTTTTTTTTTAATAAAAATAATAAAATCTGTTATTATTAAGTTATTTCGACATAATATATGAATTAACATGATTTAAAATTTTCAATAAAAACAGGAAGCTATTGGATCATTAGGCGAATAGTATAATCTAGCACGAAAATCTAAATATTTATTAATACATAAAAACATTAATGTACATAAAATTTAATTAAAAATCGAATTATGAGTATTTATAATTAGCATTAATGCAATTAAACTCCTAGAATTAGTAATTATATCATTAATAAATTTGTTAAATAGGTTAAAAATTTTCCAAATTTATTTCGAAACAAACTGAGTGTGTAATATAGAAATTTCATTACTATATAAAAACAATAATTATAAATTGATGATCGTTTAACAGTTTATATCCATTCATTATTTAAGACATATCAAATTTATATAATAAAATTCTTTTTTTGCTTATTGAAACGTTTGACAATCTAAATATCTACATAAAAACATTATTTTAAAACTATTTGCATATAACATTCAAATTTCCTATTGAAATAAATAGCCACTGTAATGTTTAATATTGATATTTTTAATTTAGTTTTTGATATAAGCTTTACTATAAATTTTTAAGAGAAGAGGAGAACTTATCTTTAAGTAGTAATAATAGTTAAGTCAAATAAATTATTAAAATTTCATTTATAATGAGTTAGACATTTAAGCTTAGAAGTAAATCATTGATAATTTTAATAGTTTGTATAATTTTAAATAACTTTTGCATATAAAATAAATAAAGCTATTATTAAAAATGATGAAATTAAGTTTTATACTACATTAATCAAGTATTAATAAACTAGTAAACTTATCAAACTATAATAACTTTTCGATATTTTTTATTACAAATCGGATTCATATTAAAATTTTTTTTTCAGATTTAGATGCAGTTCGCCTCTTATAAAATGCGTACCGATAATTATAAATTTGAAACTTATATGTGAATACTTATTTATAAGAACTAAGAAAAATGCAATTCAATTAAGAATTATTAAATGGCATGAAATGATAATAGTAATTTATTACATAATAAATCAAAAACCATATTTAAATAAAAATGTTTTACAAATTACATACGGCTAAATTTTTTGCAATAAGTCTTCATGTGTTGCAGTACGTTAAATTATGATTTTCACTTACTCTTTATACGATATACTGAAGTTAATAATTATGTATTAATTAGTTCATCACTTATTCACATAAAACACATATTTAAATATATTAATTAATTATAGCTAATACAGGATATAAAATTTTATAGAATTAAATTTATTGTTCGGTAACAAGTCATTCGACTTCGAGTCCTTCACGTTTTGAAATGTAAAAAATATTCTAGATAACTTGATAAATATAAATAATATGTAATTATAAGCGTATTAACAACTTAAAATAGCGAATAAAGTAAAATTTATAAATGGCCTCATTCGTTTCACTAAACGGCAAGTATTGATTGAAATGATCGAAACTCTAAGGGAATTCGAACATTTATAACATGTACAGATTGATAGTTCCCCCAAAAGAGCCAACAATTCTTTTTGTTCTCTACGGAATCAAAGTCTAGAAAGGCTTTTATTTTTCGCTTAGTCGACCTCGCGCACTTTTCCTTATTAGCTGGTGCATAACGCGCATCACGACATTTTTATTTCCTTTATTTGCTTCCTTGTATCTATGAAAAAGAATTTAAATTAAGATTTGCAACGGTTTTTTTTTTTCAATACATATTACATAAAAATCTTTAAATTTAAATGTCAACTTCTCTATAATTAACGTACTAATTAATTAATGGTATAAATTAAAATATTGATAGTCTAACATATATGCGGAAATAAATATTATATAATTGATTACTGACTTGTATTGATAAAACTTAAAAATTTAAGATCTCATTCAAAATTTGTATCAACAAATCCATATATTTAGTTATGATAACTATGATATTGTACATAATTTTTTGGAATTTCATATTTTGTATTCGCATTGCTATATATATATATATATATATATATATATATATATATATATTCTTAATTTCTATTTGAAAACTATTTGATTTGATTTATTTTACTCGATTAAAACGTTTATTTAATTTCATTTCCTTTTTCATAATTTCCTTCTGTAAATCTTATGTAAGTATCCATAATTATGTGTAATAATCATGATCGTATGACATTTCATATTACGGAAATCGATGTACATTATGAGAAATGAAGTGAAACGAAGGCGTATGTGACACTGTCTTACATTAAAATGAAGTATTATGTGAGATTATTTAATAATAAATTTATGTAAGAAAAAAAATAAGAACAGCACTAAAACTGTATTGTAATTAATTTTACATTTTCTACATAAAATTATGGTACAATTTCAGATCCAGAAATTTATACAGTAAAAATATAATTATAAAATTACAGATATTATAGTGCAGTTAAATATTAAACAATATTTCGATACAACATAGACTCTGTTTATTATTAAATATATGTATCTTATAATCGTTGAAAATTATTTATTCAATATAATTATATATAAATTAGATAAATTTTATCAATATATTACAATTTAATTATTATATTTTTTTTAATAAATGAAAAATGATTGATTTTATAAATTTATTTAAATAATACAAATTTATACTATTGTAAGTGTCAAATTACAAAGAAATATGTAAATTTTCCTCAGAAAATCCGGAATTATCAGAATTTAAAATTCTTGAATAATGTTTAAATATATATAAATTAAATATTTATAACAACAGCCATTTCGATCAGAATATTCAACTGTCGATTATATTTATCTTTAATTTGAAGAAAAGGATTTTCTAATTTTATTAAAATTTAATACCACTACTTTGACAGAAAGTGAACAAAAATATTCAATGCACTCACTTGGATCGTTTTATTTCAAAATTAAATAATTTATTTAATTTGATTGTACTAACAGAATATGCTAAATAACTACGCAGAACAACCTAGGGTATTTCTATTTTAAGATAATTAGAAAATTTTACTACGTACACAATCGTATTTCAGTTACTTTTTATTATAATTGAATTGAGAAACTAAAATACATAACTTATTTGTGATAATCAGTTTTTTAACATTCAGAATTAATAGCTAATATTAAAAGACATCCGACAAAAAGTCTTTTTTATAACATCTGTTCATTATCTATAAAAGCAAATAAAAAAATATTCTCTGTTTGTTCCTAATATATCCCTAAATAATTAATATAATCATTGTATATAATAATTAGATAAATTATATTTTCTTAATTTCGAGTAAATTTTAAAAGCGTAATATTAACTTTCCTCATTAGCTATGTAAATTAATTAATATAAATTAAAACAAAACTCAATAAGTTTTCATAAATTCAATTTACTAGTTGTTCTAATCAATTTTATTCTAAAAACTTAATTTATAATATGTAAAAGTACGTTTTGTACATTAGTAATAATAATTATTTGTTTTTTAACTTTCATACGTATATCTGGAGAAATGAATAAAGAAATTATAAATGTAATGATTAACTTAACAAGTTAACTAAAGTTATTGGAATTAAAATTATTGAAATATTGATTTTGTCATAAAGAAGGCTAGCTATGAACGAAGAAAAATTAAGGTAACTTTCATCTTTACGCGATCCCGTTTTACACTCTAATAATAAAATTTTCTAAACGTCCTTGCATTGTTTGACGTACATTCACTCATTTAGAGTACCTCTGTTCTTCAGACAATCTCTTAAGATTGACATTAATTTCCGTATTCGTGAGAGCCGTCTCACTTATTACGGTAAAATCATTACACAATGTCAAGATCAAACTAAACATGTGAAACTTTTCTCGTAACATAGGTACGATCCACGAATCAATATTATTTTTCTTGAGATCAATATGTAATACCAGCATTTTGTATTTTGTAATGCTCTTTTTATAATTATACAATGTTTATTTTTTAAAAATTCAAATAGAATAATATTTGCTGTCGTAAATCTTTGTAAATTGTAGCTATGGAATGATGAAGAATTAAGATCAATAAAAAAAAATAGGATAAACAATATTTTTTAATAACTGAAAAAATGTATCCGTAACTGTTTTTTAATCAATGTAAAGATTTTCTTTCAAATTTTATAGATTTATAAATATGGAGTTTGATAATCATATTTATTATACAAATTTTTCGCCTTAGCGAATATTATTCATAGATCAATTATTATTTTATGCTTAATTATTCTCTTAGAAGATAATTTTTATCATGATATGATGAAAGATCATGTTATGAAGAGTATAAAATTTTAGTATTAAATATTTTTCTATTGCTATATACTATTGTCAATAGTAAAAAAACGAAGGAAAGAAAAAAATAAAAATGTGAGAAGTATGATAGTGAAAGAGAATCCTATTTAAACTCGAACGCGCGCGCGCGCACGCACACACACACACACATATATATATACATCTAGAGAGAGAGAGAGAGAGAGAGAGAGAGAGAGAGAGAGAGAGAGAGAGAGAGAAATAGATGCAATAAAATTTCTTTGTTTGCCCATCCTTGTTTTCGACACACAGTTGCATGCGGTGTCAATGGCATCGACTTTTTCGGCCAAAGAATTACCATTACACAACGTAACTTGTACGATATTTTATAGTTGTAATACATGATTAGGTGCAGCTAAAGAACATCTGCGAGTTTCACTTTCGACTTAATATATTCTTCGGAGAAATAGCGTAATGATTGTCCAATCCAGAGATTTATGTTATGTTTTTCTGAGTATATATGAATGCAGTTGAAAATATACGGAATATTTGAA